TGTTTGCCAGACGCCCTCTATTTTGTATATATAATACAGGCAAGAAGTGACGGCATAGATAATTGCAGACAGACAATTGAGTCAAGCGCGGTAGTGACCGTAAGAAAGTGCGTGAATCGTTGTGAATTATGGCGTGTGTTGAAGATAAAGTGACTGTGGAAATTAAGTGTATTGCAAAGTTGTATTGAGAAAGAATAAACTAGTTTTATTTAAGAAAGGACTTGTATCGCTAAACTTTCATCCGAAAGAAATTATACGGAAAATTAACAAACGACCAGAGACGTAACAATATTAACTTTTTTTTTAATTTCACTTCTCTTGCCAGCTGCCATTTAGTTGATCAAACTTGAGAATTTGAAAAAGCACTGTATAGTGTGAAGTATTTAGATAAAACAATGTTAGTGATATAGATAATAAATTACAGACAAGATTGTCAAACTTTGTAACTAACCGTTGATAAGTATCGTATCGCGGCATCAATATCTAGATTCGTATCGTAACGACTACTATGATGAGATACGCATAGGGCGTCATATGTGATGATTACCAGAGGCCAACGGGAAAAAAAGTCATTTTAATTAATAATTTCACTATATTATTACCAAATTATTTATTTTAGACACCAAAACAGTGAAATAAGTGATTTACTTATGTCTAATATTGTATTAATCAAAATAGAAAAGTTTCTCGTTGATAATTTTTGAATTGGGATCGGAAATACTCGGGCGATCTCGTCCGGAATGTCCCATAATCCTTTGCTTGTGTCGTCACAGAAGAAAACACAGCTGAGTGAGATGTTTAAGAGTTGAGTGATTGTAGAAGTCGAAAGTTAATGATTGAGTTAGGTTATTTTTTGAAATTTTGATACTCGAAAGGTTTGTGGTGCAGAAAACGCCATATCGCAAGCAAGCCTGGCCTCGAGCGCGGAGTCCGACGACGGTGGACTATCTCCCCCACCGCGGAAAAAACAACGCTTTTCTGCAGCTAACAGTAACATGCAAACTACTAATGGCTGTCTGCGGCACAATGGGGATGCACCGTCAACTGGCGATGACCTGCAGAATGGTGCTTGTCCTTCTACTGCAAACGGGCAAATTAATGGAGATCCAAAAATAAGATCACAAGCTGATAAGGATATTATTCGTCTGATTGGCCAGCATCTCAGAAGTCTTGGGCTCAAGTAGGCATATCAATAAATTTATCAGAATGATAAACCACACAAATTACCCATATTGTCATTATTGAATAAATGTAACTCTTATTCTTAACGGGTTTTATATTTGATTATATTTACACTTTTTCTTCATTTCGTATCATTGTCACAGTTGTAAGTAATACGTTGACACTTTTGAGTTTGATTAAGATAAAAACAACAACATATGACGAAATGTAGTGTGAAATATAATACACTTCAGACTTTTCTAAAAGTAAAATATGAGTTTAAAAACTTGATGTAAATACTTCATTTTATAAACAACAGGAATACCAGTCATTCAATATCAGTTTAGTTTTTCAAGTTTTGAAAATGTGTGTTGGAAGTGGAAAACTTTGATATTTACTGACATAGCCATCTTAAGTGTATTATTAACTAGCAGTACTACTACAACTAGACATAGGCAGCCATATGTCATTAATTATCAGTAAATTTAGCTGGCATTTCAGAATTCATGGGCCACATTTATAAATGTATAATTTTTACTAAATCTGGTATTTTTCAAGGTGTAATTTTTAAAAAGAGGAGATAAAAAGTTAGGCCCAACTGAGTAGTCAGTGTTACAAAAATGTGTTTGTACAAAGTTACTTGGAATTGCAATGTAAGAACTTGCAAAAGGACAATTTCGAATTTTACAACTATTACAAAGATTGAAATTTAAGAAGATTCACGTTGTTAAACATAATCATTAGGCGAAGATAATTTTGAAGCATTAAACACTATATTTTACTGAAATGAAAGAAACTTTTGTTTATACTTACAGTCTTAAAGTCTCATGCATCGCCTTTTAATTTTAACTTAAGACCTTATTTAAATTTTCAGAGTTATGTGAAGAAAAAGCTGATATTTAAATACTGCTTTTTAAGGTCAAAATTTTCCACAAATACAAGATATATTAGGTTAAAATACTAATATAAAGAAAAATTAACTTGAACATGAAATAAAATTGGACATCACAGTCATTTTTCTTTAGTATTATGTGCTCTGTTAGAAATAAAAGTTTCTAGGATCATTGTAACTAATATTCAGAAGGGTTAAAATTAATTTTTGGTAGTTACTACTGTGGTATGAAATTTTCTGTGTTCTTTTCAGGAGTAAAGAAAAGTTGTAATTTATTTAACCCTGCATTTGTCTTCCAGAGGCTTAATGGACCCCAAATATTTTACCAACAGATGGAAGAATGTACATGTTTGTTCTTAGTAGCTTCAGTATTTGGCTACTTTATGTTAACTTGTTACATTTAGTTTAGATGGTAAAAAAAGAAACAAGTTGTAATATTCAATGTTCATTTATTGATTAATAAAGGAAAATATTTTGAGTGTTAATGTTTTTTATTTTCAAAGTAATAGTTTATTATTATTTAAATATTTTTAAATAATTTTTAAGGGGTTCCGCTCGGACTCCAGAAGAGTGACTATGGAAAATTTTTACAGAACACTAACACAGAGTTAAATTTTCAATAATTTGCTTAGGTTTTTCATTTTAAAAGACTAGTCAGCTGATCAGAGTTACTCATAAACATCGTAACAGGTAAAAAAAAATATGTATTAGATTTAACCATTTCTGTCCATAAACTCATCAAATAGTTTTAAAAGAATCTATTATCTCATTAATATTGGTGAGCTTCTCCACAAATTTACCATTCAGAAGTTGAAAGTATTTTATATAAGAATAAGTTATAGGTAAACCAAGATCACGTGATGTGCATGTATAAATCCAAATCCTGGTTTTCTTGTTGAAGCAAAAAATGGTTGTAAATTATCAGATTTTGAGCAGAGTGTCATTAATGAGGTTTCACCGACATTTTCATTTCATTGATTATGATAAAAAGCAAATAACATTTGAAAAATTTCTAAATGATATACTTACTTGAAATAAATACTGAAGACAATGTGTATTTAATTAAGGAAAATTTGAGTGAACCAAGTACAGAGGTTGAGTACTTTATATTAAGAAGTATTTTGAAGCCATGTCCAGTCATGCCATATCTGAAAATTAGTGTCATGATAATTAGTCCTGATGTATAGCTTCCATTGGAAAAGGACCCATCATCCAAAGCACATCACTTCTCTCTGCAGTTTTCCATCATTCATGAGGTGCATGAGAACAGTGGTTTTCCAGCAAATGTTTCAACAGTCCAATAGTACAGAAATTTATAAGTGCTTTGTTTGGTGACTTGACTGTTATGTCTTCATATGGAAGGGCATGAATACCTATTTCATTATCCAGTTGCATAGGTAATGGATCAGTAGAACAGGAGATATGTTGGATATACAAGACTGTTCAGTTTAAGAGTTATTATTTAGTTTATTCAGTGATTTAATATTCAACGATTATTCAGTTAATTATTTTAAAAGGGATAGTTATGTCAATTTTCGTTACATAACTCTGTACAAATTTTATGTAGTGTATGTAGTTAATTGTTGTACTAGGCTTTTGTAATATTGTTGACTTCATCTTAGTCGAAGGTTCTAAGTGTTTCTTGTTATGTATCTTATTGTTGTACACTAGAGGGCTAGATATTTCTAAATTTCTCTGTCGTGTATTATAAACATGTGAAGATACAGAAAACTAGTAAGTTAAGTTAGTGAAGATGAATGAAAAAGTGAAGTGAGCATGCATACGAGTTTAGCTGTAATGTACAATTTCTAAAGTGAGTTTCATAGTTTGTATTGTAAGATAGAGGAGAATAGTTTGTCTTGTCAAAGGGTGTTCTAAAGTAATTGAACCCACCTGTGTGGACTTTGATGAAAAGGAGACAATTATTTAAAGCTCTGGATACAGCTGTGGTAACCAACAGCTATAGTGGTGATTTTAAAGTGAGTATCACAGCCTTGTATTGCAACAGCAGAGTAGAGGAAAATAATTTGTTTTGTAAAAGGGTGTTCTAAAGTAATTGAACCCACCTATGGTGACTTTGAAGAAAAAGAGACAATTATTTAAAGCTCTGGATACAACTATGACAACCAATAATGTAATGAATTTTTTTGAACATATGTTGGACTTGTTTTGAATAGTATTTTAAAACAAGTGGATTGTGTGCTGTCTGTTTATTGTTGAAATTTATTGCCAACAAGTCATAGACACCAACTATAAAGAATCTGGTTCTATAAAACTGACAACTAGAGGCAATATTTTGGTGAACCCAAACCCTGTTGGCCACATTTTCAGATTCAGATCATTCTTGATCATGTTGCGTACTGTTGCTTGGGGCGAATCAACAACTTTTGTCACTGTATTTGTGGGTTCTCACTTGTTACAAGATATCGCACCTTGCTTAACATGACCATAGGTTAGGACTTGTAGTTGGTCTTGTTAAGGCTGTTCCTGGTGTCCCAAGTTGATGAATATTCCTTTTTTCTAATACCGTTAAGCACAAGGAATTTTCCCATCTAGTAAATTTTAAGTCCCTTTTTGATCTGACCGTATAAACATTTTCCATGAGAAAGGGCTGTTACATACTCTACCAAAAAGCAATCAGTTTTTCAGTGGCATTACACTATCTATGAAATTCCAAACAATGACAGAACAACTTTATATCAGCTGTGGTTTTCTTGTGACTTACATATATGCATATTCAAAGTCATTTTAATGTAATGTACTCAAGCTTCTGTATATAAGAATTCTTATACAGTGTGCTTTGACACTGAAAAAGAAGAAAACTATTGAGGGGGTATGGAAACTGCAGAACAGAGAGTTGTTTAACTCTTTCAGCATGGGCTTGGTCCCTGAGACAACCTCGTAATCATTTTATGCTTGTTATAGTTTTTTGTGCTACAGCTTTTAAATTAGTAAGTGAATGTTAACGAAATTTGGCAGATTATCAGTTTTCATTACAATGCTTTCATATTCAAAATATAAATTTTTTTTATTAAGTCTTAAGGCTTATAAGGCAATGATTGTCTCATGTCTTTTTTTTTCTTTTCATGTGTTGCCTGTCTCTCATGTAAAGTAATATTAATTTTAAGATTAAAAATACTTTTATGTATCAGAAAATCTTGAAATTTCACAAGCGAAATCTTTATAATGTCAAGATAGTTATCAAATGTTTCTTAAGAAAAAACTATATATTTTATCTGTTATTTTCAGTAATTAATCTCTGTATGGGTTTGGTTGATTTGACTGATCTCACCACCACCGTAAAATATTAGGAAATAAACATAAATTATGCCTCTTTCATTCTAGAATGAACACAAACTATAACACAAAAACATAAATGTTTAGACTAAGTAGCTTAAATCTCATAATGTTAAAAATTTATATATATTTATTATTTTTATTATATTAACCTTTCAGTCGTGCCTGGCTAACAATAC